TTTTTGGAAACATTGCTGGAAGAGGAGAGTGTTGTCAGAGTGAAGGGCTGTAGAGGGGATTATGAAAATTCAATCCCATTTAGCTAGACTAAACAGAGTATTCAAAAGGTTTGTAGAAGTGGGGGTGGTAGAAGGACTAAGACGTGTGGAAGAGAGTAGTGTTAAGAGAGGTGGACAATAAGGGTAGAGTAGTAATAAGGGAGGAGGGGGTAACAGATGAAGAAAGCTGTTGGGGTGGAGGAGATGACGTAGAGGACGTTGGGTAAGGAGGAATGTTTTCTGGAGGTGGATGATTTAGACTGGACTGAGCTGATAGTAAGTGTTGAGAAGGTAGCAGTAGCTGTGTTCAGTTGTGGCCAAAGGAAAGATTGCAGCCAGGGAACCAGGAGGATTGAAGTTGGTGGGGCTAGTTTATAAAGGGGCAGCCCTCATTGTTCCTAATAGGACTACAAAATCTTCATTACTGACCATGGTAAGCCTTGAATATGTTGGGGAGAGAAACAGTGTACCCTTGAGGGGTGAGAGCTAGATAACTAAATATCGTGCCATTGGCTTCTCCAAGACATTCATGATGGGCACTAAGTCAACCTTTCATCTTTTCAACATGGCTCACACTTTGCAAACTGTATAGCAGAAGGGGTTGGAGAAGAGAAGGAAATAGAAAGGGGAAAAGAAATTGCAAAAATTAGCTGAGTGAAGGACTGAGGACCAAAATATAGGTGATTCCTATCCCAGCACTAGGTCCCAGCTTCTGTTTCCTAAGCCCCTTGGCCACAACATCGAGCAATGGATGGGATGGGGAGTCTATATGGGAGTGTCTGTAACAGTGTGAAAAAATATAGGTGTCCTTGTGTGTATTGCCTTCTATTACAGAGTTGGACACAAACAATATCAATCTGTGCAAAGTTTTGACCAAATTTGATAAGCATAGCTTGCTGGAGCTTCACATTTCTTTAAGCTGTGGAAGTTAAGGCTGAATTGTGAACAAGAACAGGATGAGCAAAAAACAATAATAGAAACTGACTCGGTGTGTGTGCTAAAGTTTCTGAGAATAATTATCCATATTCAGGAATAGATCAAATGCAAAAAAAATTAAGCAAGTTACTGACTATTGTACACTAAACAATATATTCAGTATATAGTATATTCTAGGTATACGGACTTTGAAAGCCAGTATGTTTTAATAACTATCATGAAAGCCTTACCACTTTTTGCTTTATTTTATAGGGTAATATAGGATGTTGGAATTGGTGGTTTTGAATGTCACACTTTTAGTACTCAGGGTACTTTTATTCAATGCCCATCATCAACTTTGGGGAGACCATAAGGCTGAGCTGCCATTGCTGATCTGCCATAGTAGCTCAAGTGTTCTTCCTCAGCTTACTGTTGTTATGCTTTTGATGTTAACTGAAAGAATATTCTCTTGTCTGCCTCTGGTTTACTTGTTAGAATTCTTTTGCCTCACACAAAGCTATTGCTTTGTATGATACGTCCCTCCTGTCTATGCAACTAAGTAGCCTTTCAGTTTGATCACTGCTGTTAAAGACCCATTAGTTTGCTTTCCTCTTTTACTCTAGGTTATTTATAAGACTCTACAGAAACACCAATGCTAAAAAAATTCTATCACTCTGTCTAAATATCCAGCATTCTAATCTGTGGGTTGCATTTGGGACCTCAGCAGTTTCTGTTTTTGTTTTGAGAAAACATACCAACCTTTCAAGATTACTGAAATTGATAGTGCTGCACTTTTAGCTGTGGGAAACCTTCTCTCTATCTCCTTGATGTCATCAATGGAGTCTGATATAGTAATTTCAAGATATGTAAAGTGATTCTACATATATATATATATATATATATATATATATATATATATATATATATATATAATATATATATATATATATATAATTTTTTTTTTTTTTTTTTTTTTTTAATTAACAATTAACCTTTTTGTTCATACTGCTCCATACAATTTTCAACATGAAAGTAAAGTACGTGATCTTTACTTGCAGTTTTTACTATATCTAGTAACTTTTACAATTCTTCCATGCAACTTGCAATAAGTACTACATTGTCTTTAAACTTGTGATTGGCAATATATCTTACACTGCAATGGCCCCCTCAAAATATCGAAGTGCAGTTCTCATGATCTTTTTTCCACACGGATATACTATCATATTTGGATTTAATGTAGATCTTACAGCCAGTGAAAGGCTACAAAGATAGGCATGAAGGTAAGATATATATAAAATTATATTAAGTTAACAAGTAAAATCCTTGTTTTGCTTTGAGATATAGTAAAAAAAAGAAAAAAGAAAAAAAAGTGGAGATTGCTATTTAGTTTACTTTCGAGAAAGAGAAGAAAGTAGTAATGAAACCCTAGCTTATTCAGTCTGTCTCAGCTGTTCTCATTCTAGGAAAATAGAGTAAGAGAAGATTCTACAGATGACAAAGGCACTATGAACAAATTCTTCAATGTCCCTTTTTTTCATATAGGTATATTACAATGTAAAATCTATTGAGGTTGTAGTGGTGTGATGATGTTTAAAAATTTCTCCTCTAGCCCTGCTGCTGCTTTGGCTGCTGCTAAATTGTTCTGGAAAGTAAGTTGGGATTTATTGCATTATATATAAAACATGTAACACTTATCTATATTCCTTTGGAATAACTTGTTATGTTTTAAAATAAAGCATAAATCTCAATGCTCTACAGTTCAAACTTTAAAGCTGAGGTAAAATATCATATTTCTAAGAACTTACTTTCTGCTCATTAAGAACTCCAATAAGCTTGTCTTGCTTCTTAACTAAAGCATTCATGTTCCTCTGCTGTCTCTCCAACTCTTTTACTTTGCTATTGCTACTTCCTAATGCTGTTCTGAGCTGTTCTAATTCTTCCTGGATTTAGAAAACAGAACAATAATAATAAATGAAACAGGTTACATTATGTGAAAAAATTGTCAGTTATGTTTAACATCTAATTTTTTACATAAAAGTTAGAAACGAACTTACAATTCCCAAAATCAGTACCTCTTATTCACCTAAAAGTGACACTCAAGATCATTCTGAATCATAAATTTCTCTACTTTTACTAAAAAAAAAAAAAAAAAATGAAGAAAAAATACTAACATAAAAATTCCTAATATGAACAAATAACTCAAACCTTGTGCCTATTTTTCAGTGCAGATATCTGCTCACGCAAGGAAGCATTTTCTGAATGAGCTCGTGTAAGCTGGGCTTGGAAAGATGACTGGCTGCTGCGATGCTCATTCTCACTATGCTGATGACTTGAAAGTTCCTGAAACCAGAAGAGTCTGTGTTAGATACGCAAGTAATAAATCAAACTCCATAACAGTCTGAAGGACTACGAAGCCTATTGCTGGTCCCTTCCCTAGTAAGGGAAATGAAAAGCATGTCTGAGTAATAAAATCAAAAGGAGAAATAATCTATGAAGCTGATGTTGTTTAGTGAGGTCTTTCCAGCTTTCCAGCTGAAGAAGCATCTCTGACACCTCAATAGCAATTCAGTGGCCTTCTTTCTTCCAATGTTTTGGACAATATAACTTCTCTATTTGTTCCCCTAACAACACACCTCCAGTATAATTGTTTCCCTCGGCTGGCATTTGCCTTTCTATTCCTGGAATGCTTTACTGTTCATGATTCCCAGTGCCTGCCATCTTTCCTGGTGTTTGTGGGGACTTTACTGTGTTCCTTGTCTACCATTTTAATGTTATCCTCCTATACTTTTACTTTCTACTATTTTGATATAAGTAGTATTCTACATCACCAATTCATATTTCATCACTGACTTTATTATATATATTTTTTAATTCTGTATTTCCTGAAAAAAAATCTTATATTTTCTAATCTTCACTAGTCTACCAAGTCATCACATTTCCTTTTCTTACTTATACATTCTTCCCTTTACCTGTCTCAAAACACTAATTGTACCAAGCTTTTTTATAAAACAAAATACAATAAACTAAGTTAAATATTATGAAATATATGAATATACAGAAAATATGGTTCTCAAGCAAGATTCATTTCTACTGAACCTTTTCCTAATTGGCAAAGCAAAATATAGGAATTCATATACATAAATATCCTTACAACATATATTCAGTATGTTTTATCTGAGCATCCCCTTCACATTTTTCTGAATGTGGCTGGTTGCCTTATAATAAGCATTCAAAAGAACATGCCAGACATAACATGACCCTGAATGTAAAGCTTAACCCATTCATACTGATCAAAATGTTCAGAAAGGCTGGGGTACACTTGCATGCACTGTTCCACACCTGGGCAATTGTCTAACTCATGGTTGGATGTGTAAGCTTCATCCCAACATATGGGAAATGAAATAATGATTTTTCACCATGTTATGAATGACTTAAAAGGTTTTCAAATATGATTGTTGCTTACATTTGCTTTTTACAGACTACCTCAAAGATATACAGGTATAAATCTAAAACTAAATATTTATCTGTTTTATATTCTGTAGATTTTTTGGTAATTTGTGAATTCATAACAATAACTGTAAAGATACAATAAAGAAAGGTTTCATTTTCCAATTTTTTTTAAATACTACTAACTTCTATGCAGCTCCTGCATCCTCAGGCATAGATCACCCTAGTGTTACCCCCAACAGTTGAACCCACTTGGGTCTTTCTGGTACTCATGGATATCTCGTGAGCCCCAAAACCCTGTCCCTTTTCACCCTCTTCCCCTTCCAGCTTTCATAATACTTATATTTCATCCTACTGATGAGAGCTGTTTTGTTTTCTTCAATTATTAAACTACATTGTAAGTTTCTTACATTTAGGTACTCTTCAGTTTCACTTAACTAAAACAGATTAACTGATTTCTCCCTTAAAGTTTCCACTACCAATGGATATATCATATGTTTGAGAATATTATTAATTGAAACAATGAGGTTTAACATTACATGCATTTAAATATTTCATATCTGTAGAAACCATTTCTCCATTTGTTATTGAATGAAGCTTGTATTATTATGCCAAGCTCAAACAATAGATCACATGACATAGTTAATGGTTAATGGTTACAAAGCAAAATGAGTAGGAGGAGGATAGATGTCGACAGTCATTATGAGTGCAGAGGGAATGGGAGCAGAGAGATTAAAGGATGTATGAGGCATAGACATGTTCTCTAGAGATTCTGAAGTGTGGTTGGTTGGGGAGGTCCAAGAAGAGGGGACAGACGTTTGAGGGGCGGAGGTAGAGGCTGATGTATGAGAGGATGTGGTAGGAGAGGAAGGAGTGGAACATTTAGCTTGTCTTGCAATGAGTCAAGCAAAGAGGTGGGGTAGATAACAGGGAAGACCAGATTAAAGTCTGAATTTAGAAAAGTGGTAGAGACTGGGGTGTATGGATTTAGAATGGCAAAAGAATTTGACTGGGAGAGGGAGGGGGTAGAAGTGGGATGAGGAAGAGAAACTGAGGATAATGGAGAAACCTCTTTGAAGGGAGGGGGAGGGACAGAGCTAAGGACAGCACTGGAGAAGGGAGTAAATAAAAACCTTGTGTGTATTATCCAGAGCAGTTTGATCTATCATGACCAGCTTAAGCACAAACTGTGGAGTAGAGGTGTTGGGCAGGGTAGCCAAGATGCCAACAATTCTGACATTGACAAGTGGGAGGTTGCTGCAGTTGGAGAGGAGGGCCTCTCCACCAATATAAACATTTTGGGGAAGTAATGTCTACAGAAATTAATCTGCAATATTGGTGGAGGACTTATGGTAGCCTGTAGGGGGAATGGTGTAGTGAAGTAGTACTGTGGACATTAGGCAATGAGGAGGAGATATTGGAAATGTTCAGAGATGTAGTCAAAGAAGAGCCTAGGGGGGAATTAAAATCATTGGAATTAGTCCATAAGGGGAAAACCTCATTGTCACTAATAAAGGTACAAAATCTTCATTACTGGTCATGGAGTATGTAGGGGAGAGAAATGGTCCACCTCTTAGGGTCCCCTTAATGGTTAAAGGCTAGACAACTAAACAGGGGAATACTGTGTCCACAGCTCCCCAAGGCCGTTCATGAATGGCACACAGTCAACCTTTTATCCTTCCAACACTGCTGTTACAACTTAGGAAGTAGATAGTAGAAAGGATTGTGAAAGGAAGGAAAAATAAAGAGAAGAAGAGAAGACTGTGTAAAATTATTTGCATCATGGGCTGAGGTCCTAGACAATGTTGAACCCCAGCATTGGTTCTCAGTCTCTGACTCCCAGGCCCCCCCCCTCCCCCATAACAACAGGAATAGGATTAGGGGGAGTTCATATGAAAGCATAAAGCCACATGGAGTGTCATATGATAAAATATGTATTATGCAAATGTGAATTGCAGGAGTGACTTTAATAATAAATCATCATAAGACTAGAAGAGAGCAGCTTAATATTGTAGTTGTCTGAATCAGAATAATTCCAATCATACGGTAATCAAAAATGAAAATTAATATAATCTAGATGTTATTAATTTAGAATACTTATAACATGCCTCCCCCCACTAAAAAATCATATTCCTACAATTCACTATGAGTCACTATTTATATTGTTACAATTATTTAAGCCCTATAATATTATTTTCCACAAGCATGACTTTCTCCATAATGTGTAGCCTTCATGATCTGCCACTATTGTATAAGCATACTCTTTTCCATTGATTTTTTTTTTTCTTAATCAATAACACTTATGTACTGCCCACAACATAAGTTTGCCTAGTTTCTTCTAGCTACAATACCCCCATTCCACTTGTAGACCTTCCTCTCCCTGAGCTGATCACACAGTCATGCTTTCCTGCCTCTTTCTTCTTGTGAATGAAATGCAGCTGAAGTGGACTGACAATTCTGGTATTAAGTGGCATCTTCCATCCAGCCATCCCCCCCAATCTTCTCCTTTCCCACAATCCCCCTCAAAACAACAATACCATTATTCATCACAGAGTTATCTCCTACTGTATTATTGAATATTTACCATTCCTATGTTGAGATACTTATGAATACATCTAAATACATAATCTATTGTCTTCTATGGTAAAAATATGATTTTGCTGATGTATATGGATGTACCTGTGATACTTTTAAAATTCTAGGTAACATGTACAACTATATGGATAAAGGATAAAATTAAAACATTGGATAAGCTAATAAATAATATTAGGCAAGGTACATCAGTATTATAGAAGCTATATCCCTCAACCAAATGTCTCTGAAATAATCCTTTTCTGTTAAAATTAGTGAAAAAGAAGAAAAGGAAGAAAGAAGGAAAGAGAGAAAGAAAAACTCTAATCCCTAAGAATCATGAGTTTTGTTAATCAATACAAATCCTCTAAAGCACCGAGCCAATTCCTATATCCAGTGGGAGATATCCAAAGTCTTCCATTATTATCTGAGAGGCCCTACAAATGAGCAAAATCTCCAAAAGAAAGGAATTTATACCATTGCTGTTGGCAAAGTCAAATAAATATTACTCAAAAGTGATGTCTACATTACTGTCTGATTACTTTACTATGGATTTAGTAGACAAATTAAAGCAAAATAATTTTCTGTATAATCAAACCATGTCTATATCTGGAAAATAAAAATAAAAATAATCTAATTTAAGTCTTTCAAATGCATATGAAGCTCACTCACTCACTCATATAAGAAATGTCATATTTCACTATGAAAATGCTTCATTTTCTGGCCATGCCACATATATTGCATGTTATTCTAGTGAGAAATCTATATCTTACATTCTCTTCAACAAATTTCTTACACTTTCTCTTATAATTCTGCCATGTCCTCTTTCAATTCCTGATGATATGGACTACAGTTTGCTGAGAGTTGTAAAAAGTTTAGAAATACAATTTAGATATAAATAACCTAATATCAACTGTATTATGTCAAACTGGGTACGTGCTCTACTGAGTCCTGAGTGTTTTGGCTGTTGGATCTCAGTACTCCATGGCTCCATGGTGACCAAAATTCAGACATTAGGCTTACTTGAGTGGTGACTCTCCCGTGTTTGTGGCTTGTAGGACTAGCCTACATGAACACTCATGTGTGGTATCAAGACTCCTTGCCTCCTGTTTGTAATGCTATTAGGTCTTATTCTGTATATGCATTTTTTCCTGATCTAATATTTCTGTTTATATTTGTCATTTATTATGCTGTATCAAGATGGTAATAGACTGTTTTCACTGAGCAGAGACTATATTTTTGTAACATTCAATTTTTAATAACACACTCCGTACTGCTGGCCGAGGAAGGCATGAATAGGTTCCTGTACATGGAAATAGTGTCCTCCCTAGAACCTTATTTACCTGTGGAAATAATGCAAGAGCCCCTTCCTTACGGCACATGGAGTCTAATTTCCGTCCAAGAGCTTTGTGCACTGACAGCTAGTTGTCCCCATCACTCAGTATCTATAGCTTACAACAATTTGAGCCAAATTCTTTTTTATGATGGATCCAACCAGTTAAGATCAAAACTATCACTTTAGACTGTAATACACTCAAAGACTCAGGAAATCTCCAGTGGAAGTTGACAGAGGTATCAATATCATCTAGATCCAATACAGCAGGAAAGTTCAGGGAACTCATACCAATCTTGACCACCAGAGCATTATTGCTCATCACCAGAGGATGCATACACCAAACCTGTGTGTGGAGCATCATGCTGTTTGGCAATGAGACCTGGGCAGTCACTAAAGCTTCTGCAAGATTTTGCAAAATGACTGGCATGTAACACAAAAAATTACTTGAAAACCAACTTACACAGCCTCCTGGATATACTTGGTATCTCTAAAATGGAACCTCTAATCCGAGGCAAGAAACTGTGATGGCATAAATATATCAAGAAAAGTCATCTATACAAAATGCTCTGGAAGTCCAAAAAAGACCTAGGTGGAAACCATAAAAATTGATCAGAATTTGGATATGATAGATAACAAATCCAAAAGATCATTAAACCAGGAAGAGAAGACTCAGGAAAGCTAGACAATGTCCAGCTTCTTGAATGGAAAATCAAATGATAATCATTATAACATTACAAAGAATCTAAGAATATGAAATAGTTCAATATATATGACAAAGCCAACCATATGAGATAATAATCATAATAAAAGAACAAAACTAAAGGATCTATGATATAAACATCATATATCTTGGATCAATTTGTATGAAATTAAAAAAAATACTCTGCAAATGAAATACAGAGATTCTTACATGATGCTTCAACAGTCTCATCCTGATTAGTTATCAGTGGGCACATCTCACGTTTCACTTCTGAAATTTGACTAGTTAAAACCAGACACTTTGTGGGACTCTGACTGGACCACTCAAGTAAGCTCCCCTTGTTCCCAATTTCTTTGACACAGCTCCCAACTGAAACTCCAAGATCTAAAACATGAAACACACAAAACTCATTCCAGCAAACTTCACCTGTGCAGCAGCAACACACGACAGCCCTGTCCTCTGCCAGCTGGAGGAACTTCCCCAATGCCCCTGTAAAACTCCACTTCACCAACAGCACCCAGCCATCACAGTGGGCATTCATATCTGAACAACTCCCTAACAACAACAACAAAAAAAAAGACTTATTACGTAGTAGAAACACCAATCTACTACATCTGCATGATCCTTCTCTCTCTCTCTGTCCATTCCCTCTTTCTCCTCAAACTGTTTATTACCTTCCGCAATCCTTGGCACTCAATATTCAGCTCCTGTACACGATCTTGAAGCTGCTTATTAGATTTTTGGAGTTTGGTGGTCTGCTGCTGCAGAAGAAGCACTTGTTTGTTCAGGGTCCTCCTCTCTGTCTCAGAAGTGTGGGCTCTAGTGCAGGCCTCCTTCTTGGCATTCAACTGAAAGAAAGGGTTTTGGTAAATGTTATCAAATTCTGATAAGTGATTGTGTGGCGGAGCTCCTCTGAAGTAAGGTTGATGATATAAGTGAGCTGTTTTAAATACAACTTCAAATTAATCTAGTTTATTTCTATCAGATATTAGCTTGTACATTCTTGCACTTAACATGTGCAAGTACATGTGAGAGAAAGAAAGAGTTTTTTTTCTACTTTTACAAATCACGTAAAGAATATTTAAAATTATGTTACTAAGCAACCCTGCTGATTAGATTTCTGCTTCCCAATATTATTTTTAAAATTTGTTTTTGGCAAGGATACTATATCAAATAATATGACCATAGACAAAGCAGAACATATATAACTGTTAGCAAAGGCACTGTAGTAAGAGAAATAAACAATGATATGAAACTAGGGCAGAACAAACAAATCTGTAAAACTAAAAAAAGAAAAGAAAAGAAAAAAAAATGATGACAGTTACACTCTCTCTCACTCTCTCTCTCTCTCTCTCTCTCTCTCTCTCTCTCACACACACACAAACTATCTATCATACATCCTTTTACATCAAGCAGTATTGATAGTAACAAATTAAACTGACTGATGTGACTGGCATGTTGAAATTAAGACTAAAATTATTTGATAATTCTATTTTAATATAAATTTACATATTAATGGCTAACATCTATATCTATGATAGAAAAAAAGGCAATGCACAAACTGATGATGGATTCCAGGAGGATTCCGAAACTGTTGTCTTGTATATTTCAATAAATTTTGTCTGTGCATTGTGGGTTTTTCTACCATAGTATCTACACAGTAGAGGGTTTTTCCATTTATCCATATCTATATTTAGTTCTCCTATGACCACAACAAGCAAAAGGTCTTTAATTGCCTTTCTGAAATCTATGGATAGTTCTGCATTAACTTCATCTGTGTCTAGGGGTTAAGTATGCAATTCATAAGGTAATTCTCTTAAGTTCTGAATTATAAAATCTTTGGAGAGAAATCCTATTTAAAATGTTGAGACATCCTATACTGATGGAATTGCCATGTGGGTGAAATGGTGGGCAGGAATAATAACATGATGAAAGCAATTTTATCAAAAAATTTCCCACCAATATTTTGAAATGAGGATTGCCTTCTGTGAATAATTTGCTATCCTTGCATCACTTACCAGTCTTTTACACTCTTCCTGTAGCACACTGATGGTTCCATTGAGATGGGTCACTTTCTTACACAATGAGCTTATCCTGTATCTTGTTGACTGGTCTAAAAACTCATCGAATATGGCATCTTCTGCCTCTTCAAGATGATCATCTGTGGCTTCCTGTTTTTCCTCAATTACTTGCTCATTAGAGTTTTCTGCAACACGTGTGGAGAGTTGTCTCTTTTCTATTCCAGTTTTGTTCTGTTGTTCTGTGGTACAAGTTTTATCACTCCCTCTATAAACTGATGGCTGATACTCCTGTTGAGTTGCTTTTGTATCCCAATAGAGATATTCTGCATTTTCAGTGCAAGTCTTTTGATCTCCATGTAAAAAAGGAGCAGTTGTCTTAATGACAGCATCTCCTTGATTCACTGTCTCTCCTACAGTATATTTTTGGTGAGAATTTTGACAAGTAATAGTCTCACTGGTTTTGCTAAGGCAGTCTTTTGGTTCTCTATGTGATGCTTGGGAAACTCTTTGCTGGGTTGCAACCTGTAAAATAATGCAGCCCTTAAGTTGTACACAATATCAGTCATTAGAGTATGTTTACAAATCTTAAATCTGAAGTTAATAGTAATAAATCATATATCAAAATTTAGACAGTTATGAAAAATAAAGATGACTGAAAACTTTCTCATAGCATTCTAATTCTTGTTCAAAATTAAGTTAATCTTCTCTTGACCAAGACTGGTAGCTGTAAAATGCAGTCATAACAGAATTACATAACTCAAAACAATCTTCTGGCTCTGTTACAAATGTACTCCATTTGAACTTAAAAGATACTTTATACGACTCTACATGATCACTGCTGGATGATATCCATAAGCCTTGGAGACGCTGAAGGCGAGAATCCAACTGCTGGTCAAGGAGTTGTAGGTCATCTTCACTGGACATTTCTTTGCAACTGAAAAATACAGAGTCTATTATATGCATAAACCCAACATTTTTATCCCTATATTATTGGGACCAAAAAGGTACATTGAATTTATTTCTTTGTAAATCAATCTTCCATGACCAACTAAACCATCAGTACCCATCGAAAACTGTATTTTTTCTATTAATACTATTACCCCTTATTTTTAATGCTACTTTGTATGATAAACCACACTCCTCATTATCAAGGTAATCATAATTTGTTTTTTTAATATCTTACTTACTGACCTCCACATGTCCTAACAAATATATCAGATGACCAGTCCCCAAGATGGCCCTGGCATGAGCCGCTTGCTTAGCCTAAACTTACACCAGGTAACAAAGTTATTAAGTAATCAAACGTTCCATTTCAGGATCCAGAAATACTTTTAAAAATCCATCAACAATATTTGTTGTGATCTAAAGATGTGTGACTTGTAATTTAGCATTAAAAGTTTGATCTAATAAATATATATCACTGTTGTGAAAAAATGAGAATAGGAACTCTGAGATATTGAGACCTTTGGTGACTAAAGAAAGTTTATGATACTCCAGTTTCCGAAAAGGCAATGCATGGCACAAATTTACTTATTGTTAGAAAACCAAACATCCATCAACTTAAATGACAGCAAGGATACCATGAGACAGCAGCTCAACATCTTGAAATTAGGTCTTCCGCCTGACTTTCATATGTGTTGTGAAGAAAAGTATATGTGGACTCCTGTTCTATTTGAATATAAAATTTAGCAGTTATACTAGAGGTGTATCATAAAACGTTACCAAAATTCCAGAAGGAAAAATTATGATCATACATATGAAAGCAAGGGGAATAAATATCAAAACATCCCAAAATATTATTCTAAATTTTCTGTTATACATAAAGCAAGCAACAGCAAAGCCTATGCAGTTTGGAAAAGGCCTTGTCTACATACAGTATGTGAAGCAGGACACAGCTTCAATTGCTTTCTTATTTGTCAAATAAACAGTCAGGGTGTTCTACAAACCATATCTTCTTGGAATACACAGTGGAGACTGTTGACTTGTGTTAGAGCACAGGCCCTAAGGCACTGTGGGTACACTTTTATTATCTAATTGTACCATTATCCTTCAGTTGCATATGTCAATTAATGTTATATATTAATGGGCACCACAGTATCATATGGTAAAATGACTTATTCTACAAGCAATTACTATTCTAGAAATATGCCATAAATAACTAAAATGTCTCTCACCCATATTTGGAATCTGCACTGTACAACCAAAATACTACTTTTGCTCTAATTTGCATGCTTTAATATATTAGTCATACAAGTTTCTGTTAACCATAGAAATTGCCTTGTAAGAGTTTAAATAAGAAATTTTTAATTCAATCTTCATAAGAAATGCAAGTAACAGAACCTTGTCATTCAAATTAGTTTGTGAAGTTATCTATTCTCATTTATATCTTTTCTGCATTTGCCATAATAAACACTTCTAATCCATTAAGCTTTATTTAAATGTGCAAATTACAAAGAAGTGTGCTGAAGGGATAACCATAAAAATTTGTTTGTGTATGAAGCAAATCGATGAATCTCCTAATTAACATGTATCACAAATTTTATTTTAAGTACATATCTAAATCCATTAGCATTTGTAATTGCTGACTGGTGTACAATTTAACCCTTACAATATCAGCCATATGGTATAGCCAATGCAAATATCATTTCCTGTTAGATTTCATATGCTGATTAATAATATAAGAAGAAGGGCAGATATTGGATGATGCATATCCATGACCTACAATCCTTTAAGTTGCCATCTCCCCATGTGTGCTAGGAACTGTAGCAGTAAGGCCCACTACAAACACTCCATAAAGAGATATAGATACCAGTTTAAGTGGTAGATGTATACCTCATTTACCACAGAATAATTGAGGTCCCAATCTTTTCTGGCACTGGAGAGGTATGAACTGAACAATAAATCAGCACTGTAACCCAATGAGCACTCCCTTTTGATTTCAGATATTAACCATTAAGAATTGGACTGTTGGTAACTTGGAGCATGAAATGCAAGGAAAGTGTGATGCACATAAATGATCAAGGCTAAGAGAGATAACAAGGTTGTATCTCTTAGTCACACTCCACTGACCGCGGTTATGGCAAACATGACAGCTCTCATTTGACAGGAATCGAAAAGGTGGTAAACATTTATCGAGTTGCCAGATGTATTCCTCCTACTTTGGATATTTCATACATATTCATACTTTGCCCCACAATACTCTGTACTGGTCGGAAAAAATAACCAGTACAGCAAAACAGCTAACTGTCAACTTTGGCCATTCCTGTTATGTCACAGAAGTGGGTGGATCTTACTGACATGTCTTGCCTCCGATCACGAGATAGCTTTGGGTGTCGCAGCCACTGCGCGACACCCTAGTTGCCATTGGAAAAGATGACACTAGTGTTAATGACCAAAGAGACGTCTCATAAATTATCAAAAAATAATTACTTTTGATGAATAAACACAAAGAATGGTTATCTATATATTCATATAAACTTCAATATGCATGATATACTGTGAAAAAACTGCTCCCCCCCCTCCCAATCGTGATAAGAAATAATACCTTGAATGTCACTGAACAAAATGTAATCACGACTTCAAGGGGATTTCAGAAAGAATTTGGCTTAAAGTTTACCCGTTATTATTCACTCCGCTGAAACTTGAAACACTAAACTGTGTAAGTACCTTTTAAAATATGAAGTAGGGGATTCACAAAACTATGTCGATTACCTATTACTGATATAAAGTAAATAAACTCGATCTTTCCCCAAAGAATCTCATTAAGAAAAAGCTTCTTCGTCTCCCATTTGAGGAACATTTGTATACTAAGAAGAACTATTACCTTAACGTATCTGAAAGTTCTCATTTAAATTTTGGTATTTTGTGCATTTCATTTGAGCATTTTATTTTCGTATTTTTCGGTATGATGTGATGATTCAAGCTCTCCGCGTCTTGGCAAAAGTGTAAACAAGTGTCGATGACGCAGTTGGGCAACACGACGTTACAAAGGGGTGTTGGGGTTAAATTATTTTTAAAAAGTAATTTTATCTATGTAATGACATTTTTGTCCCTTTCACGGTACTTTTACTACATTATCATTAAATAATTACTTACCGTATAATCATATTTGGTCCTAATTTGATCTTATGTTACAGACATGACATTTGACTTGTTTCCTAATGTGTTGTAGAGAACAGGGCTAAATATTTTATGATTATAATGCTGTTTTATTACCTAATATCTGTGTAGTTGTGATGAAAATTATCAGGGCTTTCTCTTGCCCTACTAGTATTGTAAATACATAGCAAAGGGTGGCTTTGATATAAAGATAATGTGATATTTACATCCTCGAATGAAATTCTTTTAATTCATATAAATGTTCCAGAATCATTTGCTGATGCTGCAAAAGTAGTGATATTAGAGTGTGTAAATATTTGGGCTTACATGTTCAATTTCAGGAAATAAGGGAATAGGGAAAGGACATCTATACACAACTTATACCAATAATTTCCTAAGTAAATTTCCACCGCACCGAACCAATCAACCTTCGTTATGGAAGAAAACATATCAACTTCGTATTNCTCTCTCTCTCTCTGTCTGTCTGTCTGTTCTCTCTCTCTCTCTCTCTCTCTTCTCTCTCTCTCTCTCCTCTCTCTCTCTACTCTCTCTCTCTCTCTCTCTCTCTCTCTCTCTCTCTCTCTTCTCTCTCTCTCTCTCTCCAAGGATACAAAAGATTTACGACAATCAAAAATGTCTATTTTTTTACAACCTTTAATAGTTATAACATCCTGTTTTTTCCTTCGTTGTACCGGTTGTAATTTGCAATATCTGATCGTTTTATTACCATCGTTAATCATTAATCTCTTTTAAAGGGATTGTTTATATTTTCTAACACAGTTATCAGCGCTAATGTTATTCTTTTTTGCCAATACTAATTTTTTTATTGTTATTGTGGTCATCAATTTCATTATCGTGTTGTGGTTATTGTTATTATTTCTGATATTGTTTTGACCTTATCATGCTGTTGTTGTTATTACTACAATTGCTATGATTATGATTATTATCATTATCATTATTGTTATTATCCTCATTATTATTATCATTATATTATTATTATTGTTATTATTGTTATTACATTTAATATATCTTATCGTTACTTTTATCATTAGTATCATTATCATTTTTATTACCATTATTATTCCTACTATAGTCATTATTGTTAATATTATCATTATTATCCTCATTATTACTATCTTTGTTACTATCGTTATCATTATCATTATTGTTATTGCTATTATTATTATCATTTTTATAATTATTAGTAGTATTATCATTATTATTATATCATTGTTATATCATTATCATCATTATCATTAGTATTATCTCATATTATCATTATCATTTATTATTATTAATGATAATATTATTATTATTATTATCATTATTATCATTAATTGTTATTGTTTTATTATTATCATTATTATTATTATTATTATTCTCATTGTTATTACCATTATTATCATTGTTATTACTATCATTATTATCATGATCATAATTATTATCCATTATCATTATTTTATTATTGTGATTATTATTACAAATTATTATTATTATCAATACTATTATTATATTATCAATTACATTATTATTATTATATTAATTATTATCATATTATTATTATTTTATTGTTTGATATCATTATTATTATCATTATTATTATTATACTATCAATATTATTACCATTACTATTTTTTCTGTGTGTTGTTGATTATTCACCATTGCCATTGTTATTAATGTTATCATTATTATTGCGATTAATATTATCTTTATTTCTATGATCACTATCATCGTTATCAATATCATTCTTAGCATTATCATATTATTGTTATCATTATTACTATTGTCAATATTATCATCATTATTATCATCGTCCTTATTATTATTACTATTATCATCATTTTTATTATCATAATTATAATTTTCATCATCATTATCATTTTATTGTTGTTATCATTATCATCATTGTTATTGCTATTATTATGATTATTATTGTTATCATTAGTGTTATTATTTATATATTTGTTATCATATTTCTTCTTATTATTATTCATTATTACTATTTATTATTATCATTACTATATATTACTATTATTATTATTATTATCTTACTATAATTATTATCATTGTTCATTATTATTTTTATTGTTATCATCATCACTATTATCATAATCATTATTATCATTAATACTATCATTATCATTATTATTGTCATTATCATTATGATTATCATTATCATTTTTATTCTTATTATTGTTATTATTCTTATTTTCATCATTATTTTCATTATCATTAGTTATATTTTTATTATCATTACCTATCATTAAGACTTTCACTATAATTTTAATTGTTTTTTTCTATCGTGTTTTGATTTTCATTATTACAGCAAGTTTATTTTCTTTTTCCCTATTGAACACTATCTTTATCAAAAAT